GATTTTAAAAGTAGCATTTTTAAAATCGGCTCTTGAGTAGCCGATTTTAAAAGTAACACTTTTAAAATCGACTACTTAAGAACCGATTTTAAAAGCTACTTTTAACATCGGGTCCTTAAGAATCGATTTTATAAAAACTCGTTGCCTAATATAAAAAATGTTGTAGTGTAATGTTTGGCGCTACTCACCTTACACCAGATGGCATCCAGGTAGGGAGCTCTTTGCGTCGCCCACACCCAGTGCTACACAGTGGCTAAGGTAGAGGTCTAGCTCTAAGAACTTGAACCTAGCGTGGCAAGACACCACACTCGACCCCATCTCAGGCAAAGAGTCTTTGCTTGAGTCTTGCCTAGTATAACCACCTTGACGCCCAATGAAATCCAAACAGAGAGCTTTAGCTTGACCACGTTAGATGCCACTCATTTAGGTTTGACATCACCAAGTCAAAGAGCTCTCAAGGTATCCACGCCCAATGTCGTTTCAACTCAAGATGAGTCTCTCTCCCACTATAAGAAAATGATGATTTTGCGACAGTTATATGACCTACATTGCGATGGTTAGAACTGCTGCAAAGACACCATTGCGACGGTTGGTGAACCGTCGCAAAAATGTCTGTTAGGAGTGAATTTTGCGACGGTTACTAGAACCGTTGCACAAACCATCGCAAAATTGAAATTGCGACCCTTACAACACTCGTCGCACTAACTGCTTCTAAATCAGTCGCTAAATATTTATTTTTTATTTTATTAAATTTTTTAGACGTCTCAAATTCGGTTGTTATTCTTCTCAAGGATTCTATTTCACAATACTTCACTTTTTAGCATGTTTTGTCCTTACTTACGCAGTTTTTGAGAAACTTTCCAGAAGGTCACCCATCCCTGTATTACTCCAAGTCAAGCACACTTAACCGTGGAGTTCTGATGAGATAAGCTACAGAAAAGCAGATACATGTTGTCAGTATAAATAGTACAAATTAATTCATTTAAGTCATTCTCAACTATACAATCTGCACTTTAGTTTCTTTTATTAGTCATTGTATATTGATTCTAGGGTGGGTTACTTGGAGAGTTTGACTCCATTTAACCTCCTTTGTTGATACACTCATTTTCTATTTTTTCAGTAGTAGAAGTGGGGTGGCATTTAGCAATGCTTGAGGGTGTGACTGGTAATTAGGCCAGAATTGGACCTAGGAAAAATTTTACATATTGGACTCATTTTGCTCCTAATTTTTCATAGATTTGATTTAGCTAGGTCTCATCATCATTGGATGAACCTAACTAAACCAAATCAAACATTTTTTTAAATAATCAAAGTGAGCAAAAGATGAGTTGGCCTCCCACCTTGCCTAGCCTTCTCTTTGGCCGAATTGCTTCTCTAACCTTCAAGGAGTTGACATTAGCTTGCTTCCCAAGCAAGCTAAGTGAGAAGCTTTCTCCACAAGTTTCTAAACTCACTTAGAAGGTCAACTAACCTTACCATGGTTCCTCGTGAACCATGGTTAAGGTTAGCTTGCTCCTTAAGCTACCTACCTCTATATATTTGTAATTTCTACTCTTGTAATCACTTTTGAACATTTTGAGAAATAGCAATCATATTTCTCTCTCACTCAAGAGTCCTAAAAACCATAGAGAACTCTCTCTCTAAGGTTTCTCTCAAAGGTTCTTCAACCTTTGCCTTGGTTCCTCAAGCTTCTTCATCCTCCATTGAAGTGGCCGAACCTCCTTCAAGCTTCCTTCACCAATGGAGTTTCTTCTCCAAGTGTTTCCATCATTTTTGGTATCTAGAGCTTTGGTGCTCTTGAGGTTTTGTGTCTCTAACTTGTTCTACTTGAATCCGTGTTGTCTTTTCTTCCTTTTTCCATGACTACATTTGTGTTTGCTGTATGGATCTAATTTTGTTCATATCTCGATGGATCCTATTTGTCACATGAAAAATAATTGATTCATATTTTTGCTTGTTCCTAATTCTTGAATCAATTTGTTTTGGTGCGCCTAGGTTCCTTGCTTGTGCATTTTGTGTTTTACTTGAGTCTCTCCATTCCCTAACATGTGTCCGTGATTGGACAACATTCATATTGCATTAGATTTGTTTTTGAATCACTTGTTTTGTCTTAGAAAGTCATGTGTAGTTCTTTGTATGTTGAAAATTCCTAGACTAGCTTGTTTGACCTAATTTTTGTGTTGTTCTTAACTCATTGTTTGGTGCGTCTTTTACCTTATAAATATGAACCTATCTAAATTTTCTTTTGCTTTATATGATTGAGTTCATGATTTGCTATTAGTTCTAGCAAATTTCCTAGAGTTAGGTTTCTATTATGTCTTGTTAAAAGTTTTGTCAAAAAAATTGTTAAACATTAATTCCTATTAGGTTTCTTTGAGTCTTGTGTGTGGCTGAAACTTATATTAATTTTTGAAGCATTAAAACAGAGACAAAACAGAGGTGTATGTGTTCTTAATGCATGAGAAAAACAAAAGAAATCAGTGATTGAAAATTAGACCTAAAATTAGTACAAAATTGTGAAGTACTAGTTGAATGTTTCAAGTGAACACCTCTTGTTTTTGTGTAATTTCCTGGCAGCAGTTTTATTATCCTATGTGAATTTTTATTTCAATTTTTGTCTTGTAAATTGCAACGGTTGGAAGGAACCGTCACAATGTTGGAAAATTTTACGACGGTTGGGAGAAACCATCGCAATGTTTAAAAATTTTGTGACGGTTTTGAGAATGTTGAAAAATTTTGCGACGGTTGGGAGAAACCGTTGCAATGTTGAAAAATTTTACGACAGTTTTGGGAGAAACCGTCGCAATATGTTGAAAAAATTGCGACGGTTAGGAGAAATCGTCGTATGAAGGACCGCAATATCAAAGCGACGACGGTTTTAGGATAACCGTCGCAATTTGTCCGTTGCAATTCATCATTTTTCTTGTAGTGTCCTCATGTTCAACCCCACCAATCTTATGCTCAACATGACCGAGACAAAGAGCCTTAAGCTAAACGTGACATCAGAATTATGCACATGCAAAACTTGATTTTGCACCAAAACCTGAAAAACAACCAACATATGCAACTCAAAACAGCAAACATATACATCACAATCAACTCAAATATGTTTACAAATTCAACATGCAACTACAAATCATCTTAATTTATATCATTCTCCACAACAACCCAAAACCCTAACTTTCACCTCACCTCACTCGAATTCGATCCACATACAACCACAAATTTCACAAAAATTCATACAACAACCATCTCAAACTTCATTCAACATTCAGTTACTCCATTCTAGGACAAAAAAAATATCTAGCTTCCTTTACCTCAAGCAGCTCAGTTCCAAGGTAGAAGAAGAAGAATGACTGGGGTTTCGCGATGAAATCAACTACTTGATTCAAGGTTTCCACCACCTGAATCACAAAAACACAACTTATAAATGGATTGGAAGAAAAAGGGAAAAATATTGAGAGAAAAAGAGCTCACGGACTAAAGACCTTCTCTCTAGGATCTTCTCTTTAGAAAGTTAAGGAAAACAAGTTTATAAGGCTCTATTCAAAATAAAAATCTTATATTCTCTTCTCTTCGGGATTAAGTTGGATCTCCACCTAGAGAACCCCCTCTCTCAACACCATTGAAGCTCTAAAGAGATCTTCAAATATGTAAGTCTCTCAACACCGACAACTCAACTTAACAACATAAGACAACTAGGGCTAATATAACATTATCACAACTTTCATTGTTATAAGAGACCTTCTCTCTAGAATCTTCTCTCTAGAGAGCTAAGGAAAAAAATTTATGAGACTCTATTCAAGATAAAAACCTTATAAACTCTCCGCTTCAAAGTCAAAATTGAATCTCTATCCAAAAAATCCTCTTTCAACACTACTAGCTAAAGCTCTAAAGGGATCCCCAGACCCCCGAATCTCAATACTAACAAAAACAACTAGAGGTAATATAACCCTATCACAATTTATAGTGTTACATATTCTCTTTATATATATATAGTATATGTATTAATAGGGGAAAAAGACACTTGGTGTCTCCGTATATAATATATTTATTCTTGGAAGGTTTTAAGAAAAAATGATTATACTAAAATAAATATATATTAAATTTGGAAGTCAAAATGTCTAATTAAAGAATGAAACAAAGAAGATGATTATTAAATCGTATCCCCTCGTGTAACTTATATGAAATAAAAATTAACTGATCAGTATTACATCAGGATCATATATTTAGGGCCTGTCTATTAAATTTAATAAATATAAATGTTGAGATTTGAAAATTATAGAGATACGTACGGAAAAAATTGGTCAGTTAAATTAAAAATTTTGAAATAAAAATACAGGAAAATTAATGTGTCTCTAATAAATGTAATTAAGTGAACTATATCTTATTTACCCCTATTTTAAGTAAGGAAAATAAATGCTCCAGGGATCCTATTCTTTGTCTGTCTGATATTTTATTCGTTGTTTGAGTCATCCTCTATAAATCATTTTCTTTTCCCAAATTTCTACAGTATCAAATTTGAAGTTGAAGGTAGTTTTCATGGCAAAGAACGTCCTTCTGAATCATTTTCTTCCCATACTGCTACTATGCGCAGGTGATGTATACACCCTCTCTATAACACTCTGAAATTGCAATTTTTGTTTTGTTTTGTGTATTACTAGTCTACTAAATTAAATATTAATCAGATTTGTAATATTTTAATTATTACTCATTCAAAGGATTTTGACCCTTATGTCAAAAAATTAAACATGAGATTCTATTACAGAGAGTCTAAATTAGTTGGTTCAACAGTATATCAAGAGTTTAAATTCTTATTAAATTCAATCATATAGTGTCACTAGTATACACACTAATTAATTCTCTAGCATGGAGTTGATGCGTGAGTGTCGATTTGGTATTAAAATTTTGAACATACATGAAACATGACGATGCAAGAGTCTTGGAGCTTTCAATCTGATCAAATGGCTCTTTCACTTTCACCCTTTTATCAGGAGTGCAATCTGACGTGACTTTCACTTTCGAGAACATGTGCTCAGACACCTTGTGGCGCGCCTCAAACCCTAGCATCGGAGACTTGGAGCCAGATCTGCCGCGAGACACGTTCGAGATATTCAACATGGACGATCACTACAGAGGCTCCATCTGGTTCCGAACCAAATGCTCCACCAACGGATCCAATTACTTCTCATGCGAAACCGGTGACTGTCGCAACGGGATCATGGAGTGTGCGGGCATAAACCCCACTTACCCCGTTACCCTTCTCAACTTTGCGGTTAACAACCCCGTGGTGTCCTACGGTGTGAGTTTGGTTCACGGGCAGAATATTTTGGTTCGGATCCAACCCAATGGTGGAACCCTAGTTGATGGGTCGGGACCGTGCCCTATGGTGGATTGCAACAAGGAACTTTCCAGTGTGTGCCCTCTTTCTTTGATAAAAGAGAACAAGGATGGACAGTATGTGGGTTGCAATAGTGCTTGTGATGTGCTTAAGGATCCCAAGTATTGTTGTAATGGTCATGGTTGCCAACCCGATGAGATTTCGTTGAAGTATAAGGGGCTTTGTCCTTTGGCTCACACTTACCCTGGTGATGCTAAGCCTCCGTTTTATCAGTGCAAAGGGGCTGATAGTTATGCCATTACCCTTTGTCCTCCCCTTTAGATTGTCTCATCACTGAATGTGTGTTGTTCATGACCTAGAATTTATATAGTGTATTCTAATGTACTCATTTGATGGTTATAGGTGAATAATCCGTAATAAAGAAAAAAAATTCAAAGCAAACGATTTTTTTGTTTGATTCTTTTTCTATTGTTAGTAATATTTTCTGATATGTTAACTAACGGACATTATGAAATTGTGTTTTAAATTAATTAGTAGTCTTGAGTTTGAAAATATTCAAATTTTAAGTTTAATGCTAATTATACGGGAAAAAACTAATTGATTCTGACCAAATTTACAGGAATTGATACTGAAGTAGAGCTAGTAGCATGTTACAAGTTGGAGACCAACAAAATTGTTATCCTCTTTAATTTAAGACATTGAGCAGTCATGGGGAAACTGGAAGTGGGAACATTATGACTATGGCGATAAATGCGGTTTTACAGAAATTGTGCATGCCAACATACTCATGAAGACTTTTCTCTATTTTGAATCCTTGGTTGTATTAGAGTTATCATTTTTAAGAAGTAATTCTGTTTCGATGTTGTTGTCTCCATCTCATTGTTTAAAACATAAATAATAGAGTTTGAGATTTTGGAAATAGATGAACCTGACCCTATATTTTTTATTTTAAAAAATATTATAATTTTTTTATATAATTTAAAACTTCCCTTTTATAAGTTAGAATAGTTTGGATTTTCAAAACTCCTTCAAACGTTCATCTAGGAGTTTGGCATATGAGAATTTTTTAAACACTGTTACTTTTTCGTATTTTGTTTGTTATTTAAAAAATAATATTTATAGAAAATATTGTTTATCATAAATAATTTTTCATAGGTTTTTGATAAAATTATTTTCATGAAAAAGGTGAAAAACTAACTATTTTTTCAAGATAAAAATAAAATTTTAATGAAGTAAAAGTGATATATTACCTTTATTTGTTTATTTAATATATTCTCATACAATATTTAAAAATATTTCAAAAAATATTTATAATTAACTAAAAATATTTTCATGATTCATAATATTTATGATTTTCAAGCATAAAAAATTTGATATGTACCAAATGTCCTCTTAGTATAAATATTTTAAATTAATATTAAATAGAATTTGATGAAAAAGTAATTCTCATTGGATACATATGTGTAAAAAATTTACTCCATCACTAGTGAAAAAAACACTTTTAAAATCAGTCATTTTTTACTTTTAAAATAGATTTTCTGACCGATTTTAAAAGAGCCGATTTTAAAAAGTGACATTTTTAACATCGGTCATGCATCAACCGATTTTAAAAGTAAGACTTTTAACATCGGTCATGCATAAACTGATTTTAAAAGTTAGACTTTTAAATTAGCGCAGGTCGTTCCATTTTCCTCAAAAGGCCTAAAACTGTAGTCTGAAACAGCCCGTACAACAATTAGAACAGCCCGTTCTGGTTGCAGAAAGGGCCATTTTGATTGGAGAACGGCCCGTACTACAACCAGAATGAGCCGCTCTGACTGCAAAACGGGCCATTCTGACTGTAGAACGGGTTGTTCTGACTGCAAAACGGGCCGTTTTGACTGCAGAACGGGTCATTCTAGATTCAAAATTTACGGAAATGCGAGACATGAGAAAAAAATTAGAATATTACCATGATATAATCTTGCAAAGAAAATGAGAAGTTAGGAACTTTAGATGTAAGTGCTAAAAAATGAGAAGGGACTTTAGATGTAAGTGTGAGAGAGTAAAGAAAGAAATGGAAGGAAAGAGAATAAATATAGGCGTTGACATTTTTAAAATTGGTTATTTAAGAACCATTTTAAAAATAACACTTTTAAAATCAGTTCTTAATGAGCCAATTTTAAAAGTAGCTTTTAAAATCGGCTCTTAAGTAACCGATTTTAAAAGTAGCATTTTTAAAATCGGTTCTTAAGGAGCCGATGTTAAAAGTAGTTTTTAAAATTGGTTCTTAAGTAGCCAATTTTAAAAATAGCACTTTTAAAATTGGTTTTTTAAATCGGTTCTTATGTAACCGATTTTAAAAGTAGCATTTTTAAAATCGGCTCTTTAGTAGCCGATTTTAAAAGTAACACTTTTAAAATCGACTACTTAAGAACCGATTTTAAAAGCTACTTTTAACATCGGGTCCTTAAGAATCGATTTTAAAAGTTGCATCAGAGACCTTTTAAAATCAGTTAAAAGGTAGCCGATTTAAAAAGTAATTTCATTATTTATAAAAATTGTCATCGCGTCACTTTTAACATCGGCTGCTTAAGAGCCAATTTTAAAACTCCGATTTTAAAAGTGATTTTTGTACTAGTACATCTAGACTATAACATTTTATGTTTATTTTTTTTATATTTTTTAAAAAATATATTTTACACAAGTGTGTAAAGTTTAAATTACCCTCATTTTATACTTTAAGAAGAACAATTGTGGGGTAAGAATAAAAAAAATATTTTTTTATACAAAACTAACAACGGTTAAATAGAAGTATATGAAAAAATAGTTAATTAAATAAATAAATAAACTTAAAATATATGAAAAAGTTATGGGCCGGTAGTAGTAGATTCATAGTACCTGTGTTTTTGCAAGACAAAGATTTAATAAAAAGCATATGCAAGTCACATTTTAAAATAAAACTAAAAGAAATTTAAATACATTAATGACAAAAGTTGAAACTGACATCAAATATTCAATTCAAAATTGTCTAGCATCAAAGTTATTAGATGCAAATGTAAAAAGAAAAAAATATTAAATGCATTATAAGTCAAACATTGTAACCGAGAATAAAATAAATTTTACTACTAAAATTTCTTTTATTACATGCAAATTTTATATAAAAATTTGCAAGAAATATTATTCCTATAAATTTTTTTGCGAAACTTTATTTCCAGGAAATACCCTCGTGGATAATACTTTCCTGCAAAAAAAAATTTACAAATGCTCATAATGAATTCATCTGAAACATTAAAAAATTTGCTTCCACGCCTCCACCATGTGATACATAACCTTTTAAATTCTTAGATCGTAAATTATAAGTCTTATACTCAACTATACAAATCGACTTATAAGGTAAATGTTGTCCCAGCTTATATATTCTTTAATTATTTTATTTTCAATCAATGTGGGACTTGAAGTTTTCTTGAAATATTAATTATCTCATGTCTTTAGAAAAATGATTAACTCTTAAAATATTTAATATTCTTAAAAAATAGTTTTTAATTAAAAAAACTTTATTTTAAAAATTATCATTAAATTAAAATTCATCATCGTTAATTTATAAATTTAATTAAATTAATATTTAATTTATTAATATTTTAAATTAAAATTAATTTTTGTGAAATATATATAAATAATTTAGTAAAATAATATTTTATTAAGTAAATAATTTTAATTTTCAAATTTTATAAATTAGCATTAAATTAAAACTCATTATCATTAATTTATCATATTTATAAAATTTTACATATTTAATTTAATTAAGATTAAAATTAATTATAATGATATATTTATAAATAATTTAGTAAAATAACAATTTTTTAATTAAAAACATTTTAATTATTAAACTTATAAACTTATACATTTTTTTTATTTTCCTGCAGATTAATATTGGCGGGAAAATCTACATGAAAAGTTAATTGCGAAATTTTTCTACCATTTAGTGAACATTATTTACGAATTTATTTTTACAAAAAAAATCTGCAAGAAACAAAATAAAATTTTTACAATATTTTTTTGCAAATTCTTACCATAGAAAAAATTTTGTATGATCATTAAAATTGTGGCAAAATTTGTAAAAATTTCTTTTAGATTACTTTTCATAAAAAAATTTGTAAGAAATATCTGTAAATTATTTTTCTAAAATAAATTCACAACAAAAAATTGTGAAATTATTATTGCAAAAAAATTCGCAAAAAATTTTTACAAATATTTTTTATAAAAAAATTCGTAGAAAAATGACATTTTTCTAGTAGTGTCTTTTTACTATATAAGCTTGCATCCAGATTAGAACACATGACATGTCACTTAATATCCCTCATTAAGGTAAATATTGCTTTCTCCTGTTTTCTATAAGAATTAAATTAGAAGCAATTTCTTTAAAAAAAATATATCTAAAATATTTTTAATAATTTTTTTTTACAAAAAATACTCTTAGT